GGATCTAGCTAGGACGTATGTATAATACGTTTTGAACCTTTCAAAGCACCTTTTAGTTTATGTGAAGTTCTTCAGATGGCCCCGTTGTCTTTTGAAGCTTCTAACACCAAGGTGTCTGTTGCAGCCCAGAGCAAGGTTACTGCTACCCAGGACAGCACTAATTTGCGATGTATTTTCTGTGGTAAGCAACATTATGTTTACATTACTTTTTCAAGCTGTGGTACATACTACTTGCGCATTTCCATAACTTTTGTTTCCTTAGGCCATGGTCTGGTTTGTGGTATTTGGGATTTACAGCAAGCTACTGTTTTATGTTGTGATATTTGTTGTGGTTCATGTAGGTGATTTGGTCAGCTTTTGAGTTGGCTTCCTAGTGAGGATTTAGTTAAAATTAGGGTCTCAGAACTAATTCTTGTTCACTTCTTCCAACATGAATGAGAGGGGTTTTTGTTTGTTCGTTTTTGTTTTTAACTATTTTGTTTGAGAGCAATCTTTTAAATTAGAGTTTTAGGGGGAAAGTTCTATCCATCTTACTATGATATCAGGAATGTAATTGGGATTTACTGGAAGGGAGCTTTTGCTTAGCTTGAATTAGTTTTCAAATGTACATGTTGTGAGGCAGCTGTGAGCTCTTTCATGCTTTGATAGGTTGATTTCTGATCGATAGCCTCCTTTATTCAGTAGGTTAGATATCTGTGGCGTAGGAGTGAATTTAGGCTTATAGTGTGTTTTCTTTCACTCTCATGCTCATATATACACATGTGTGCACATATATATGTTTGCATGGACAAACCAGTTATGTCACTTAGCCTTTTTTCCACATTACAGTTAATAAAATATATGCATATCCTTCTTCTTACACTAGGATATATCTGCATACACACACACACACACACAGACATCTGAATTCCTTTTAGTCTCATTTGATTCTAAAACTTTTGTTTTGAAAACCTCAATTCAAAAAGTGACTTTTAAATCTTACAGACGCAGCCCCTCTCCCACCCCCGCCTTTGACTCAGATATGCCTTTTTGACTACTGTATACCTTAACTGGCCAGATTATTTTATGAGAGCTAAAATGATAAATACTACTAAAGTATTATATGAACAGTTCAGCTGTGTATCTTTATTTTATCCACATGACTCAGAGCTTTTGATATGCTCCTTCAGTACTACTAATATTGTTTCTTTACCCATAAAGAGAATTGTTTTAAGGTTGATATACTTGCTGGTTTAGGCAAGGAAGTATGTGTTATAAATTGCCCCCCAAAATGAAAATTCTGATGCATTCCTTAATCACCTGAGGTTTTATCTTATGATTGCTCCAGGTGACAGTTAGAGGAGTGGGCCTGTCGTGAGGTCCTGTATAAACGCTTCACTCCGTCTCAGATTCCTCAGTTAATCGTTGCAGATTAAGTGTTTAATTAGTAACTTTTAATTTTGATTTTTCTGCCTCCTCCTGGGGGTTCTTCCAGGTCATCTTTTGAACTAGCTGTGAGTGTGATTGTTCCTGTTTGTGTTATTAGGACTCTTTAGCTCTTTCTAAAAACCTACCTGATGTTCTATACTTTGCTACTTAATATGTGGGGTTTCACATGCAGAATAATGGAGTTTACCCAGTTGCAGAGAAAAGATTTGGCCTTCATAAAGGTGAATTTTTTAAGCTGTAAAATAATGTGTTAAAAAGCAAATTTCCCCCATTATTACCTTTGATTGATTTAACTGTGTGCAAACAATATAATTACCACATTGCTAAGTTTAAACTTGATTGTATTGTGTATAATAACACTTATTTGTCTTTTAGTCCTGTGTTTTTAAATAGTCTGTGGCTAAGTGTGGAACAAGATATGTGAAAATTAAAACGTGACAATAAGTGAAATGTGCTTTAGCCAAAACTCAGTACTGAAGTCAAGACTGAAATGCCATTCATTCCTGGTTTAGAGAGATGTTCAGTTCTGTTTTCCATCATTTATAAGTTACTGTATCAGCGACATGGACACATTTTCTTTATTAGAATCAGTGATTTATATACTTTGCTACATGAATCCTAGCCAGGACACATTAATACCAACTGTTGTCTCTGGCTCTGTAAATAAAACAGAAAACTTAACTGTCATATAGCTCCTGTTCTTTATGCTATTAGAGTAGGGACAGAGCAGGTTCACTTGTCTCTTCCTTTTTCCTCCAAAAGAACTGTTGACCATCCTGTGATGCTCATAAAATGTTGTTACTTAACCCACTTGTTAGAAGAGTACCTTTTTTTTTGCATTGTATGAGAACACAGATACTCAGGTAGACATACGACCTGTGTGGAGTAACCAGTAATTGTGTTATAGGAAGTCAGTGGCAGCTGGCAGCCTTGTGCTCTTAACTGCTGCTTCGTGTTGTGCGGGGCCTGTGGTATAATTCACCAGCTGTGTAGCCCAGTAGAGTGTTGGACAAGAAGAAAGAATGTAATTGTGTACCTAAAGTTCATAATTTACCTAGAACTCTTATTTAATCTCACAGTCATTTATATTATTTTTAAATGCACATAAATTTCGATGTGCTTGTTAATTGAGTTGACAGTATTGATGAAGAAACAGAATAACCAGATTAAATATGGATGTGAGAAAATGCTGGGGGAGGAGGCTTCTCCTTTTCTGTTCCCACCCCCCACCCCCTTTAAAGAAAGTTTTTGGGAAGATAACCCATTATCACCAAGAACCATGTAGGAAAGAATTTTAAAGAGTGCTGTTTAGTTGTTCTTGGATTCCTCCCATTTATAAAGGATCTTCCTTGTTGTAAACTATTTTTATAATTAGCAATGTTAGCCAGAAAATGTTACCCACGTTTTTTAAAGCTCCTTTTAAAACAAGTTTGCTGAGTAAACTTAAAACTCAAAACTTAAAAAAAAAATCCAAATTAGTTTTTATGAATTGCTAAAAGAGACCTTTCTCACATTCACATTTTTTTGTGAGTTATGTCAAACTTTCATTAGTTTAATTTAAAAAACCTTTAAATGAAATCAGTAGGATTGAGTTGAGATATTTATATCTTTCTCTTGAATTTATGTATTTGTGTTGAAACTTAACATCGAGAGATTTTAATTGGTGAATTTAATCTATTAATATTATTGTTGCAATAATAATTACAGTGCCTGGTATAGATGTGTTAGGATCAAATTTGAGATTGGTGCCAAACAAATCTGACATTTACCTGATTAATTATTTGAAGCCTCATGAGGTTTTAACTTAAATATCCAAACATTATTTTTGAAAATAGTTAAACCATGATGGTCTTATGAGTTGCCCATGCTAAATACTCAACATTTAATTTTTTTTGATAAATATAACTTTGGAAATACTGCCCCCGACTAGTTTATATATTTTCAAAAGTACCCTCCCACCTGTTTGTCCCCCTCCCTCTGCCAGAAGAGACAAGTAATGTACACTAAACATTAGTGTATGGCTTAAATATGGCAGTCTGTTTTTGTATCATTATCTTGATATCAGAAAGAGAATTCCAATCTGTTTACTCGACACTATATGTTTTCATTTATACAAACATTTAAATGCATTTTTAATTTTAGAAGCTTTTTGATTTTTTTGTTGTTACTGTTACTGATTGCATGGAATTAATATATTTTTATATTTCCTTTATGTGGCTCTTAAAATAGCAGAGACTTTTAGGAAATCTAGTGAAGTATCATTGCAGTTGCCATCTATAATTTGTCTAAAGAGGACAAATTAAATGATTAAAAACATGTAAAGAGATGAGGGAAAAATTAGTAGGTAAGTTCAGATCAAATTATTTTTCTACACTTGGGATATAACAAGTACTGTATTATATTCTAATGAACCTTATCCTTCTCTTTGTAAAATCTCCACTAGTATAAAATAGATACTTTGTGCTGTTAACTCAGATTTACAAGAATTTGCTTTAGCACTTTAGAAGTATTTATTTATTAACTTTTTTATACTAGTGGTCTATAAAAACACTTTCAAAATATCTGCCAGGGGCCTTTGCCAGCACCCTAGAATTCACAAATATGTACAGCATTATCATTACGCATATATTTCTCTCCAAGAGTGGAAGATAACTACTATTTCTTTATTCTCTTCTTTACTGGATTAAATTCAAGATTGTTCTATTATAACTATAAGCATTGTATATTAGGTCCAGTATTTTATTTATCTCATTTTGTGACACAATTTTTATATCCAGTGACATTAAAATGTCCCATTGTTTAGTGGCCTTCTTTATGAGATGCTAAAAATGGGTCTGCATTTTATATGACGTGGGAATGAATGGTCATTAGTTTCTCATGACAGAATTGTGTTGGTTTGAATGCAGGTTTTTTGTTTTGTTTTACCCCAAATGAAAAATTATTGCAGTTATGTCTGTTACATTAAAAGTTCAGATAAGTAGATTAATTATATGTATAAGTTTAGCAAATATTTGTTTTCACCAGTGCTGGAAATGCCAGGCCATTAAATAAGAATGGCAACTTAAAGTGGGCAAGTTTGGTAAATGCATTAGCGTGCATCAGTCTAGTAATAAGGTTCTCATGCTTTCTCTCTCCTGTTTTTCATTTCCAGTGTTCTATTTAGGTGAGTTTTTGAATTCTGATTTTTCATTTAAGTTCTCCCTCTCCACTTCATGAATAAGTACCCCAAAGAGAATGTCTCATTGTCTTAGAAAATGTCAAGCTTAGGTGCCTATTCAGATGCTCATTGAACACTTGTTTTACTCAAGCTCTTCATATATAAATGTTTATTTTTCCTTTATTGTTGATGTTTTCCATTTGTTTCAAGTAAGCCTTCTGGAAATAATGACAGTATTTTGTTGCAGTCTTTCATTTGCTGTGTGTTATATGAAGCTTATATTTTATTTTGCTAAACAAAAAGAAGATACATTTGTAAATATGTGATGGTTTTATGTTATTCTCATGATTTTATCTCCTCTATCCAGCACAATATAAAGATAATGTTCATTTATAATGTTTCCCTCCCTTTTTAGGGCCAACATTGCCTAGACAAAATTCACAACTACCTGCCCAAGTTCAGAATGGCCCATCACAAGAAGAATTGGAAATTCAAAGAAGGTAAATTCCCAAGTTGTTATTTGCCCCTGTCTGCTGCAGAAGACCAGTCTGTGAACATCTGATATTGAAAGTAGATTATGTCTCATCACGTAATATGTACTGTTAAGAAGTCTTTAAGACATCTTATTTTTATAGCTGTTATAAATTAATCTGTGATCATTATGGCTGTCCAGTGACTAATTTAGAAGGTTGAAATAGTGTTGACTGTATAAGGCATTGGACATTAGATAGGACTTAGTAATGAAGTATATAGTCATTCTGATTTTGATTAAACTGCTGGTTTAATGAAATCAATAATATCTTCATTATTTTCAGTGCAGTGTAGAAATACATTTGAAATTGTAATACAGCTTCATCTAGGGATTGTTTTTTTCTGAATTAGCAAAATGGTCTCTAAATTATAAGCTACTTTATAACAAAACAATTTTATAAAATTCAGGTACAATCAGTAACTAAAATAGAGCTAGTCAAACCAGGTATCCTACTTAAACAAAGGAAAACTTCTTGGAGATGTTGATGTTGCTTTTTGTTACTAGTAGATTACCCCTGTTTTGTTCTGGAGAATTGATAGCCATCATGTAGATGGAATTTTCCAATTGAAAGTCATTTGCTCCATGGCAAGCCAGTATTTTTTATTGTTGTCTTTGATTTGGACCTCACATTTGAAATATTCTGTATATTCTTTATGTTATCTTAATGTATGTGCCATGTTTCACTGACAGATGGTCAGGGGATCTCTTGCTGTGGTTCTGTGTTGGTTGCTTTGCTGTGTAACTACTTAGTCCTTGAAGAATGCCCTCCAGGATCTCCCAAAATGAGTTTTGTTTTTGACAGTCTGTATCTTCAGATAGTTCCAGAAATAGCCTCCACATTTGGTGAAACTCTGTCTGCCCTTTAGAGTGATGCTGTGACAGATAAGAATAAAATGAGTTTCTGTAGAAATAAAGAAAATTGAAAGGATGTAATCATTTCAGTTCTATGTTGAAAGTTTTAAACATAGTAGGATAATTCTAACAGAAATTTTAATGATCTGTCTCTCACACACACAAAAAGAAAAGTAGTTAATAAAAAATGGGCATAGGGGACTTCCCTAGTGGTCCAGTGGTTAAAACTCTCTTTGCACTGCAAGAGGCACATGTTTGATCCATGGCCAGGGAACTAACATCCCAAATATTAAGAGTAGTACATTTGTAGAAGGCTAGGAAGAACCAGGAGAAAACCCTGAACATAGTACATAATCTTTGGGTGATACAAAGTTGGCAAGCAAGCAATCCCAGACACAGTTGCTGGAGGCCAGGACATTAGAGAATAGAGACAGAAACCATCTGCTAGTACTGCTGACTCATTCAGGGTCACAGATGGGACATCCGCTTTGCACAGGGCTGTCAAGAACTTGCAGCGTACAATTTTAGTTGGAAATGAGTATTTTAAGTGCATTTTTAGTAATTGTTACTAGAACACCATGCCTCATGTATATTTTTTCTCTTTTCAAAGTGTTCATCTGAACTTGGAAGTTTTTCTCTTTGTATATTAAGTAGATGCTTTAGAGTTTGAAAATTGAAGATGTTTACATTACTTGTTTAGTTGAAGACTTGAACTCAGTCATTTTGAAGCATGAAATCTAAACTTCTGAGAAGTTCACATAAATTTTATATTTTCTGTCCACAGTCACGCATAGACTGTTTTCTCCTTCCACATGACACCAACTAATTTCCTTCTCTCTGCAATATTAATTTCATCTTCATTCCTTTTCTTTACTCTCCACCCACTTCTTTTTTATTCTCATGGAATCTGCCTGTGTCTCCACAGATCTGCTGGACTTGCCGCTTCCGTCATTTACTTAGACTCATCTCTCAGCCTACACGTTCCACTTCTGTTTCTTCCTTTTGATGCTTTAGAGTCTCTTCTTTTTGCTGACCCTTCTCCTTTTCTCTCCTTTTTGTACCTCTGTTTTCTTATGTAAGGTTTTACACTAAACTGTCTTTATTTTTTCTTTTTGCACACAGTATAACCTTTGAAAAATTGATGGTTTGGTTGGGTCTTGTAGTTTTATGCTGATGGCTTCAAAATCTACAGCTCCTAATTCTCCAATAGAGATCTAGACCCATATTTCCAGTGAAATGCACCCTTAATGAGAATTCCTGTTGTAGAGCTCATCCACCTGGGTATCCCACTGACGCCTTAGTTTAAACCTTATGTTGTCATTTGTAATGTACATTCCTTCTAATATTTCTCCCAGAATTGCTGCTTAGAAAGTCTATAATTATCTTTGTTCACGATATCTATTCAAGTACAGTTTATTCTTTCTTTCTCTAAAAGCCTGTTGGGTTTACTGTTCTGATATTCTCATTGGTAGTAGCTTTCTCCAGTATTTATTCTCTTATATACTACTATAGATTTGACTTGCAGTTTTTCTGTCTTTAACCTAGATTCCTTTCAGTTATTCCTACTTTATTACTGCCAGATTAATTTTTTTTATTAAACCTGTTTTGCTCAAACAGTACAGGAGAGTCTCAAGTTGAGGACGGTAATCTGCTGCACAGTTGTGCCTTCCCCTCATATTAATCACCAGATTTAAACATCTTTAACCATTTCTACCTTAAGTACTTTGGATGAGTTCTTCCATAATAATTTGTTTATATTTCTGTTTCTTGATTAGTCACATTACAGAGAGTAGCTATTGAATCTTTGCTATGAAAAATGAAGATTTCTCTACTTCCCTTGCCAATTATGAGTAGTTACTATTTGTAGTTCCTCTAGAGCTTTGCTGGTAGCTCAGCAGTAAAGAATCTGCCTGCCAATGCAGAAGACACAGGTTCGATCCCTGGATCAGGAAGATATCCTGGAGAAGGAAATGTCAACCCACTCCAGTATTCTTGCCTGGAGAATTTAATGGACAGAGGAGCCTGGTGGGTTACAGTCCATGGGGTCACAGAGAGTCGAGTACAACTGAGTGACTAAACAACAACAGTCTTAGACAATATGTCTTAACTCCTCACTCTGTAAGAGGAGTGCAGTAGTTCTGCACATCCCGCTGCCCCCTCTCTTCCATTCTGCCACCTAGTTTTGGCAGATGTGTCATCTTTTTTATTATTTTCAAGGTTTATACATTTGCAGTCTTTCTGTTCCTGTTGTTAAATTTCTGTCTTTATATGTTGTAGGTGGTCTTTTTTCCCCTTCCTAGAATCCATTTAACCTTCTTAGTAACCACAGTAGTCTGAGTTTTTACCAAGATGTGATTAGATTAGGTTTTTGGGTCCTCCCCTATTTATTAAGCTCAATACTTAGTGGACTGTTTCTGTTTAAAACTTAGCCACAACTCCTAGATTTTTAAGAAATTTTAATTTCTGTAACCATTTCCTTATGTTGTTTCCGTTCTCTTTTTGGGGAGCTCCTATTGATCAAATGCTAGGCCTCCTGAGTTATTTCCTTATGATGCTTTTTCTCATTTCCTGCCTCTGTTTCTTTGTTCTGTGTTCTTAGTGATGTTTTTTAAGATATTTATTTATTTATGGCTCCATCAGGTCTTAGCTGTGGTGCACAGGCTTAGGAGTGCATGGGCTCTGTAATTTGTGGTGCACAGGCTTGGTTGCTCTTAGGCATATGAGATCTTAGTTCCTGGACCAGGGATCGAACCTTTGTCCCTTGTATTGGCAGGCGGATTCTTAATCACTGGACCACCAGGGAAGTCCCTTCTTGGTGATATTTTTAACTGTACATTCTAGACCAGAACTGTCCAGTAGAAATATAAGCTACATATTCAATTAAAATTTTTCTAGTAGCCATACTAGCAAAAGTAAAAAGAAACATAAAATTATTTTTAATAACTTTATTTTAATCCATTATGTCCAAAATATCATTTGAAAATGAAATAAGTATAGAAATTAGAAGATATTTTACATTCTGTTTTTTCATACGGAACCTTCCAAATTCAGTGTGTATTTTTTTGCACTTATAGCGTGTTTCTGTTCATGCCGGCCACGGTATAAGTGCTCAAGAGGCATATGGCCCTTGGCCACCTGACTGAACAGCACAGAGGTTGACCTTCTGTAATTCAGCTTTATTCTCCAAGAGCCTTTTGTTGGGGTGCTCTGCTTAGTTGATTAGTCGTGTCCAACTCTTTTGCGACCCCGTGGATTGTAGCTTGCCAGGCTCCTCTGTCCACGGGGATTCTCCAGGCAAGACTCCTGGAGTGGGTTGCCATGCCTGCCTAGGTTTGTTGGGGCAGGAGGGCAACAGTTATTCCTTTTTTCAAAACAGTGTGTTCTAAATTCTTGATTGTATCCTCAGACTTCCTTGTTTCTCTTCATTTGCTTGAATTATCTCCTTCCGATAGAGTGGTGGTGTTTGCCTTACTAGTTTTATTCAAATATCTGGTGATCTTTAGTGGTCTCTTTATCTCTTAAAAAAAAAAGAAAAAAGAATTGGTCTGAACGACATTAGTACCTGGCTTTGGTTTCCTTGTGGGGTTGGGTGCATATGCACAGCATTCTTCCCGGGTTGAGGGCGGCCAGGGGTCTGTGCAGGTGGCCAGGCAGACAGACTGACAGGCTCTCCTTTGGGGTACAAGGGTGGGGAGCAGACAGGCCTCAGCCCAACAAAGCTGAGATACCTGTAGTTCCACCAGACCTCCTAACTTCTCTGAGGCAGGTAGTTCAGTTTGTCTAGTGGACAGGATTCTGTGGTAAATGCCATTTGATCAGTGCCATTCCGTCTGTTGAGCTGAGGGTAGGGAGTGGAGGGATGACTGGTGCATTTTCTTCAGATAATATGTGTGTTTCTTCATCAGATTGATTATGGTTGCGTTGCACACTCCCATTCTCTCTTATCTGCTCATCTCAAGTTAGGTCTTCCCCAGCTGCTTCTCATGTCTGCTTCAGCCATCCTCCGTGTCTGGACTCTGGATGCCTCCACTCTTCAGTTCAGTTGTGTTCCAAGCTACGTGTTTTGTTCTAAGTGCTTACAGTACATGAAGGTGAGGAGCGGTGAACAAAAAGCCT